TTGTACATTGGAGATTGCCACTGTAGCTTGGACTGTGGGTTTTTCCAAGGCATTTTTCCAAACCTGGAAGATGGTCTATTCATTGAACTTTGCAACTCCAGATCTCCGCCTCGATTGTTGTGGTTCTGTGCAACCCATATTGAACTGGGTGAATAATGCTGATAGTAATGCCCATTCCAATTTTGATCCTGGCAGTACACGGTAGTCAGAAAGCAGATCACAATACTGAGAATCATTCCCCCAAGTCTAAACCAATGTATCTGCAAAAGAAATTTTATAAGGTTAGTCGGATGCAATAATTTATAAAAAAAAATTACATGCATTAGAAAGTCAAAATTGATGATTTATTGGAAATTCTCGTTGTTTCTCAAGAAAATACCATAAAAACAATTTTGTTTTCATGTCGGCCCATCACAAATCAGTCCAAATTCCTATAGTACGATGATGGTTGTTCAGAATCATTCCAACATTTTATTTCGAAGAAATTATGAGGGAAATTTCTGATGGTTTAACATGAACAAGCCATCCAAACAAGTTGCTATTCTTATGTTGGGCCATCATAAATAGGTCCGAATTTCTACATTGGGGTGATGGTTACTTATGTTGGCTTCCATCAAAAATATAATGGCTCGTGATGGAATTATTAATGTTTACCATTCAGATTATGGTGGGCCATCATTGAAAAACCATCAAAAATTTTGACTTGGGTAGGCGCGTAATACAAATGATAAGTTCTACCCTAAAAATTAAGCCGAACCACGAGAACCTGCCACGGTTAGTCTGACGGCAAGGAGACTCTAACCTGGGATCCGTCCACCACTGAGGATATTTCACGTCAGCGCTGTGGTCGGTGCAAGCCAGATGCGGAATTCGCATCGACCAGCCATCGCTGGATTCGAACCGGTTCATCTCACTGGAAGGAGAAAGCTCTATCCCCTTAACCATCACGGCTCAATTTTCATACACAATAAAAAACAACTCACAGAAAGAAACATTCATTCCGAGATCAGGATTCGAGCCCGCAGTCTGGCACGCTAACCACTCGGCCGGCCTTAAACGTAGACTAAATCATGAAGATTTAAATTCTGAAAAAAAGTTTTCAAAATATTAATGTAGAAAACCAAATTATTACAGGATTGCTTCTCCATTGCGTTATCTTGAGAAATCCTGCCATAATTTCTTCGTACATTTCGATATTTTGAAAATGATTTTTCAGCACTTAAATGGAGTAAAACTTCATGTCTTACTCGAGGTCTAACCTAAAGTCACTTTTTGATGCCTTTAATTTTAAATTACTTACGCAGGTGAAAGAGAATTTACCTTGAAAGGGTTTCTTAAGAGTACTTTATACCAGGCAAGAAGCCCTACATGGCAAATTCTGTTTCTCCTCGATTAAAAAATTAAAAATGTATAGTATAGAAAAAAGTGAGTTCAGACAAAACAATAGTAAACCATGAAGTTAAAAATGTTGATATAGTTCGTTCACTGGGAGTTGACACTTGGATCCAACTCCTCGTACGCTAAGTTAATTACATTTCCGCGCTTGAAATTGAGACAACCCTTAATGCGTGCCAACGCAAACCCATAATTCTATTATAACTTTCGTTACTCTAGCTAATTAAATATGTTTCGAATTTAAAAACTGCGGTTCTCCCAACAAAATGCCTCGAAAAAGACAAACAACTCACTCAAACAAGAGAAATATCAAATTTATGAAATATTTAATGATTAAGCAATGTACATAAATATTGCAAAATAAATATTTTTGTTATACGATCACCAAATAGCAACCTTGTTCAGGATTGTTCACATCCTTTTCCCAAAAATAGCGAAATAGTATCGCCGGATATCACGTAATGTTGGCGAAGCTAAGTGCCAGCTCCTGGTAAACAAACTATATTTTGTTCTTTTAAAAAATTAAACAAATTATTGCAGCATAATTCATGATTACGCAGTTGAGCAATAATATATATTATATAAAACGCTAATACGTATGTATCAATAAAACCGATGATATAGCTTTTCTCGCGTTGGCAACAGTTTTCCACTTTAATTGATAGGCTTCGGCGCTCAAGAGCACGTAGTGAGCATCATATGTCTAATCGGGTGAATTCTCACCGAATTATCAAAAAAATTCTCACAAAATTATCTTCATCGAAGCCGATGCTTTACATCCGGCGTTCAGTACTATGTCATATTGTTTTACAACACATGGTTTTAGCCCTCTGGTGGGAAAGACTTTAAAGCAAAACTTACTACAGTTACTTTTCTCAACAACTGAAATTTAGAATAGTGTGATTAGGAAAAATATGTGAACTGTTTGCAATTTCGAATTAATATTGAAATGCATAGCTTTAGAATTTTCTACAGTGAAAAGTTTTCGGAACTTCAGTGTTAAAAAAAGTATACAAAAGCTAGACGTTAAGAACGTATCCAATGAGCGAGCAAAGCGAGCATCGGATTGCGAAGCAATCGGAAATGAACTGCGGAAGCAGTTCCGGGGTTTGGCGAGCGCCAGCGAGCAGGGGGCGAAGCATCCTAGTTCTAACATAATTTATTAGCCCTTCGATATTTCGCAAATAAGACTTTTTTTAGTGTTTGAAGATTTTTTAATATAATGATGATTTATTTTAAACTAGCAGCTGAAACAGAATTCGCCACAAAGTATTTCTTTCACAGTAAAGCGTTTTTTTAATGTAACTTTAACTCTCTGTATTTCTCTAACCCTAAATGTACTTAATCGGGCAAAATATGAACTACTTCAACTTCGAAAATTTTACTAGTAATAATATTTACTTTTTAGTTTAATTAATAAACTGAGTTTTAAATATGTTTATTATATATATATATATAAATACATAAACTTAGATAAAACAACAAAATCAATTATTTCAAAGAGAACTAAACTAATACAATTTCAACCTGGCTAGCAGCGACTTAAAACAACAAACTTCATTTAATGTTTATTTGTTGCTAGAAGTCCTTTCAGAAAATATTTATTTGTTGCTAGAATCCAGACTCGCAGAAAATGCCGTTTACTGGTTTAATTCAGTAGGAATAATACGGCGTGTGATGTAGGCTATGGTATAAAAAATTTAGCTATGAAAAATATGTTGCCCACGTACGCAAAACTTATTTATTCAATTGCAGTAAGACAAGCAAAATATTTTTTTAATAATTTCAGCAATCAAAATCTATAATTTGCTCAAAATCAGTTTGTTAGTTTCTGAAAAAGAAATATTCAGCAATATGAATATTTTGAATTTTTATTCCTTAGAAATGCTTTTAACATTATCTCAAATCTTAGATTTTTAGCCAAAATGTAAAAATTTCTTTACTTCGCATTTTAAATCAATTCAAAACATNCGACGAAATGGCCTGTCGACGAAACAACCCTGTCGAGGAAACGGCCTGTCGACGAAATGACCTAGTCGATGAAATGGCCTGTCGATGAAGTGGTGTCGATGAAATGGCCTGTCGATGAAGTGATTGTCGATGAAATGAACCAGACCCAAAATTACGTGTAAAAAACTGGAAGACAGTTATTTAGCTACATGAAATTTTAAAAAAAAATTGTTTAAAACAATTCAGTTTGAAAATTTAATGAAAATTTTAAAAGTAACTACAAGCATACAGACTTAGTTTATGACTTCTTCGCTACGATGTAGTGTGACGACAGTAGTGTTAGCTGACCTCGTTAAAAAAATACTCTATGCAAAACCTCACGACACATAAGTACAAAAACACTATATTTCACCGAAAAGTGAATAACAATGAAAACGCGTAGGCCTTAAAACATGACCTTTACTCTATCGCCAAAATTTTGCCTACAATTCAAAAATTAAGTTTTTTTTCCTATTTTATTTACTTATTTTTTTATAAGAAAAGTAGCTCAATAACTATGTTAAAATAATGTAAATTAATTTAAAAAAAAAAATATCGCGTTGTGAAATTACGATATCGCCTAGCACAACTCAATTTTAACTATCGATATTTATATATCGATATATATATAGCAATCAACTGAAAAGAATGAGGAAAGAAATATCGTCTGTGAATCAGATGAGCACACAAGAAAGGGTTATTCCAGAATAAAGATAGTTACGTCATATTTTAACTTTCTCTTCGGATGAGCACGTGTCCTTGACACATCCTTAAGTTATTGCGAAATTCCTTGGGAGACTCATTATTTAGAAGTTATGACGCCATCAAAATACCTGAATAACTCCCCCTACCTCCCCTCTTCTTTGTTTAGACTGATAACTGCACAAGATTCATATCATAAAAAATAAGTAGCCTTAGTTTTGAAATTGTAGTTTTAATTTTAAAGCTTGATTGCGCAGAAAAATAGCGAAAATTGTGGTGTATAAAGTCGACCCTCTATTTTTGAATATAAGATAGAAAATTTCTGATATATTGGGAGGTATAAGTCGACCTCTGAAAAAAAACAAATATAAAAATTTCTAAAATATAAAAATAAGATACAAATATTTAATCTACAAAATTTTATTAAATTAAAAATAAACTCTTGAATGACTTATCTCTTATTCTTAATTATTTTTTTCTGAACGTAATTTAAAGTTGTTTTTCTAGACAGACTTTTTAAATTTGTTATAGCAATTACCTTTAATTTTAAATTTGTTATAACAATTACCTTTAATTTTAAATGTTAAAAAAATGATTATTAAAGAAAATTATTTATGATTACTAATAGAATCATAAGCGAAATATAATGATACAATTCTATCCATTTCACCTTTCATAATATTTACCAATGACTCAAATAAATAAATTTAATTTTTAAGAAATGAATATTGGACGTGAGATCACAAGCGTAAGCAAACAGAATTCTTTATAGTACATATTGTTGGATTTAAGAAAAAGAAACCCCAATAGTTTTCTCCAAAATTCTTTTCATTTTTCAATAACAAAAAAAGCAAAATCTTTTTTAAATTAAAGCTTATTCTTTTCCTTTCACCATGTTGCCATTCAGGGACAACTAAACTTAGGATACAAAATGAAAGTGGCACTTATAATCAAACCACAAAACCGACGTTAGTCTGTCTTTGTGTTTAGAAAGCAATAAACTGATTCTTTCTTCGTGAAAAAATATAGAATGTGTCACCTATGAGAATTCTTATTTGAAGGGCTAGGCTTACTCGGAATAGAATGTAAAGAACAGTTGCTTACACAAATGACACGCTTCGATAAGCATTCAGGACCCATACTCATGATGACGTCACTCGCAGGTATCCAATTG